GGAGGGACGGGGAGGCTCAGATTCTCACTGTTCAAAATACTACGGTGAAGATTTTCAGGCTCACATGAAATTCCAATTACATACATGCATGTGCATTTCCCGTCACTGCTGCGCATAACGTACATGTATTGCCGGCAATTTACTGACTGTATTTACCAAGTGAATCGCCGACAAAACAAGCAAAACGCATCTGTTACAGTCAATATATGAATGAATTACAGGAAACACAAACATATATATTATCCAAATTTTATGCGTTGCAAAAAGAAGTCGGTGTGTGTGTGTGTGTATGTGTGTGTGTGTATGTGTGTGTGTGTGTGTGTGTGTGTGTGTGTGACGCCTTTGCTACTTTGTCAGCGCAGCACCGCAAGTTATCTTCGCCATGCACAAATTTGCGACCGGCAAAGCCAAATAATCTCCATATATTTATGCAAATGCAAAAACGCATATTGCTTTAAATTTCGGCCTAACTGAGTACGTGAAATAGTCAGCAGTTTTCAATCGCCTGCCTGTTTGCTTTTTGATGTACTTCTTCCAGCAATTCAAGAAGTTGCCCTGTACGCTCAGTAAAAGTGATTTTCGGACTGCTCGCACAGCCGTTTTGGCTAACCGTTCTGCCCTCTTTCATCAGTTGCAAAGGGATCACCTCATAAGGCACCTTTTAGATGACCCAGAAGGGTGGCGAATCGTGGAAGCGAGAACTTTATTAGGTGCTGGGTGTGGCCGAGCCTCAAAGCTTATTTTTTAATGGTTCTAGCGATTTAGACGGACCATGTGGCTACGCATTACCCACCATCTATAGCACTTGCTTCGACAGTATGCTTGCTGCGAATGTCTGGCTTTGGCTTATTGGCGAGCATTTTACTGCAGCGCACACAGTTCACTTAAATCTTTCTTTTAGGAGACAGTTCAACTCCCTCTGCTTGTTGGTTTGCTACGGTTGAAGAAGAGGAAACGATATCAACTCAGGCTGGAACGCACCAGGCGAGCCGGTGCGATTA